GCTGTGGTCTGGGCGGTTCCCGGGCCCCAGGCGGCTGCCGCGGGGCGCACTTCAACGAAGCCTGGCCCGCTGGTTCTCAGAAGCGAGTGGGGGAAGCTCTGGGGTGTTGAGGTTTCGCTTCTGCTAGCTGGCCGGGCGCTTGGTTTCGCAGGTTCCAGGGACCGGGGACGCACCCATTTGAAAGCCCCGGGCTCCGGGAAAGGACTGCGCCGGCGTCGGCGCCCGCGGGTTTGCGTTTCGCTTGCGTCTCGTTTGCATACTGATTTCTTCCCCGAAAGCAAAGCTTCTGACCTTGGGGATGTCCAGAGAGGTTATGTTACTTTCCCGAAGTAACCCAGCCAGTAAGAGGCTTCAGGTGCTTTACCTGCTTGGTGAGAGAGTCTGGCGTGGACGAAGAAAAAGAGGGCGCTAGAGTCAGAAAGACCTCGGTTCGAGATTCAGCCTCGTCACTTACTGGCTTTGACCATGGGTTAGTAATGCCTTATCTGGGACCCTAAGTTTCCACACCTCAGAATGTGGACGGTAGTACCAAATTCATGGTTGATGTGAGCAACGGCACGGGGAAGGGTGGAAGGGTAATTTCCCCATCAAAGGTTATGACTCGTGGTGGGGGTGCGAGGGTGGGTGTACTGGTTCTTTCCTAAGTCAGACGTCCTGTTCAGGAGGGATGGAAGCTCGATTTAATGAGGAACTGGTGGGAGTGTGGGGATTCCCCAGTCGTTATGCTTATTGTAAATAGTGACTCTGCACGAGTGGGATTTTTTCTCTTTGTACAAGAAGAGCACAGTACTTAGCACCAAACCCTGCCTCTACCATTAACTAGCAGTGTGACAGAGTCTCACTGCCTTGTTTCCAATCTGTAAAATGGGGATGATGAGATTCCTTCCTCCAATCTACAGGGCTTTGGCAATTCCAACCAGCCAAAGTCCCAGCAGACACCTTAAGAGCTGTGAGCCCAGGTAGTTTCTTTGCCCATGTTAAGGCAAAAGGGATTCCCTTTAGGAAGTTAAGATGAGTAGGCAGGGAAGAGTTTCATGGGATGAAGTAGCCATCTACACAAACTTTTTCCAGAGCTACCCAGAATCTAGTCTCAGCCCTGTCCCTAGCCAGCTGTGTGACCTTGGGCAAAGTTTGGGATTGGTTAGGGTTGAGGGGGAGGTTAGAACAGCAATTCTCAACCTTTAAGGTACATGTGGATCCCCTAGGGGACTTGTTAAAAATGCAGATTCTGATTCAGTAGGTCTGGGTTGGGGGTCTGTGATTCACCTTTTTCCGCAAGCTCCACTTGAATAGCAAGTGGTAGGGTCCAGCTGAGAGATGAGGGTTTGACTCTGGCAGAAGCAGAGGGGATGAGAGGAGGGCTGGGTATGAGGATGTTAAGTAGGTGGGATGTTAAGACCAGAATTGGGACTGCTTGTCAAGGCAAAACCGAGGGAAAGACTCTCAGAAGGGAAACTTGGGGGATTTAATGGATGGCTTATCCGTCCACTCACCAGTAGAACCCAGGAGTAAGAGTGGGGTGGTGGAGCTGAGAAGGAACCACTTTGGACATGCTGACATCGGGTGTCTGTGGCACACGGGTTGGTGATGTCCAGTAAAAAGTCGATTGTTTGGGTCTGGATCAGCGGAGAGTCTGGGCTAGAGAGACCCAGAGTGGTGGAACCAGAGGCTGTCCTGAAAAACAGGACAGTTCACGTCATGGAAATCGGAGAGGGACATTTACAGAGGAAGTGATGCTAGGATCACATGGCATTGAGAGGTCAAGGGAGGAAAGTGTTCTGCAAGAAAGAGGTCCCTGGTGATCTCAGCCTGGAAAGTTCCAGGCACTGGTGGGTGTAGAGGGCAACTGCAGCGGGTCAAGCATGGATTGGGAAGTGAGAAGGGAGGAAATAGTGGAGAGCAGCAGTAGGGAGATGGGAGGCAAGGATGGACACCAGTGCTAGGGTGATGATGACAATAGTAAAGATAACGGCTCATTTTTTATGAGAACTAATATGTCAGGCACCGTGCTAAGCGTTAACATGCTCTTTGCAGCAACACTGACATGGGTTCTATTCTTGTTCCCATTTGATAGGGAAGAAAATAAGCTCAGAGCACACAGACAGTAGGTACAGAAGCAGGATTTGAACCCTGCTTTTAACCACAGGGTCAGTCCAATTTATCAAAAAGGAGGCTGGTCTGGGGCTAGTTCAGAACTCACTATCTCCCTTTCCCCAAGCCTATCCCTATCTGTGACACTACCACTAATTCACTGTCAGTTTTTAAATTCACCACCATTTGTTGACCCCGACTATGTGCCAGATAACGAGCCAGGCACTGGTGATGCAAAATGGATCATAGCGGATTGCAGCCCTGAAGGTGCTCAGGGTAGAGAGAAAAGGCTGACTGATGGGCAGGCAAACTACACCATGTAGTGTGATACTGTGTTATAATGGCCAACCCGTGTGCCACAGACACCCGATGTCAGCATGTCCAAAGTGGTTCCTTCCCAGCTCCACCACCCCACTCTTACTCCTGGGTTCTCCAGAGGGATCCCTGGAGAAAGAGCTCCAGAGTCTGCCTGAGGAGATGAGAGCAGATGGGAGGGAAAGGATCAGGGCACTTCTCCTGTGGCCCAGACTTGATCCCAGGATCATGAGGTCCTGTGGAAGATACTGAGCACATGCACATGTTGCTAAGTTCACTGTGGCTGCAATAGAGTTGGCAGAGGGGTTAAGGCAGAAGACGGAGCGACTTCTGAAATTATTGCGAGTGCTAGAATTTAAGTTCCATACGGCAGTGATTTTTATGTCTTGTGTTCACTGCTGTATCTCAAGCACTTGAATCAGTGTCTGGCACATAGTAGATGCTCAGTTAAACTTGCTGAATGAATGAGTGGATGAATGTTTGGATGTCTCTGGGAGTGAGGAAGAGGACCTGGACTGGCGCGTTGGCGGGGATGGAGAGAAGGGATGTGAAGGGGCAGAAATTGAGAGAAGGGGTAATTGACAGTTAGTGGTCTGGAATGGGAGAGTGACTCCCAGGTTTCTGTTTTAAAATGACTAGACTCTTGAAGAAGGAAGGAGGAGCAGGATTGGGAGAGAACTGATGAGTTTAGGTTGGGGCTTGCTGAATTTGAGGTCCAGTAGACTGTCCAGAAGGAGGGTAGATATGTATATCACTTTAAAAATTGTAGAATGCTTTTGAAGTATATGCAGTACTCTGCCTCTTTGCCATATCATTGATACTCTGAAAATTTATATAGAGGTGCTTGGATTGTTGTCAGCAACAGAAGGTAACTGAAGCCTTGGCATGAGTGAGATCACACTGAGAGGCTGTGCAGGTGCAGAGAGCAGAAGGCCAAGGCCAGAGGCCCAAGGAACATCCACATTTGAGAGAGAGCAGACAGAGGGAGAGAAGCCAGGGAAGGGGCATGAGAAGGGGTGTCCAGGAATGAAGGGGGAACTCCCAAAAATGTAGTGTCATGGAAACTAGAGAAGGAAGAGGAAGGAGGGAGGGTGTGGCCCACAGGGCAGGTGTCTCAGAAAGGGGCGACTGCTCCAGCATGATGGATAAGGGTGGAGGAAGATAGTCTGAGTTTAGACAACCTTTCTAGGTGCTGGGCTGTGAGCTAGAGGGAGACAGGACAGCAAGGGAGGAGGATGTGAGATCAGGCAGGTGTGGCCTGCAGTTTTCTGGGATAGTCTCCAGCACAAGGCCTTGAGTGGACCAGAGAGGGCTGTTCTGCTTCCCCCAGAGAGAAGGGAGAAAGTGAAGGATGGGGACAAATGAATGTGTGTGTAGGAATTTTCTGTTTGATAGCATGTATTTTCTC